AGATGCAGCTAGACGAAGGTTTAAATGCATTCGACTTTCCGAAGACTATACGAACTTCAAGCTGCTTTGAAACGGTACGTAATCCTTGATATGCTGTGCCAAATCCCATTACTTTCAACAATCCCTATCCAGTACTCCAAACTCCAAAGCCATGTGGGCAATCCCATCCTCCATAAATTATCCTTAGGCAAACCCACCCAAACCTAGACTACCTCTATTCTAGCTGACGTACTCAACACTCATTTTGTCTCTTGTTCCTCCTATCCCTCTTTCCAAGCATAAGTTCCACCCTGCATTTATCCCTCCTTTAATCCCAATCATTTTCTCTTTTCTCATATTACGCCTGACAACCTCCTTAAATCCATTCGTGAATCCCAAACCAATGATTTTGGACCAGATAATATCTATTTTACCAATCCTGTATCATATCTATAACTTTTCACCACAAAGGTCAGCTTTTGCCAGCACCTGAAAAACTGCTCTTGTCCGTCCACTGAACAAAACCTCTAATCCCGTAACCCTTAATGAATTCCGTCCAATTTCCCTTTTATCTAACCTTTCCAAAACTTTAGAACGAATAGTACAATCTTAACTATCTCGAACAAAATAACCTTTTGAACTGCTTCCAGTCTGGTTTTAGACCTGACTATTCTTCTCATTCCGTCCTCATTAAAATCTCCCAAGATTTCCACACAGCTATAGACCAACAGAAACTCACCATCCTGATCCTTCTTGATTTCTCTAAGGTATTTGACTCATTTGACCATAATATCCTCCTAACCAAACTTGAAAATATTTCCTTGTCATCTAGTGTCCTTAAGTGGTTCCAATCCTTTCACACCGGTCGCTTCCAGTATGTTGTAGTCCCTAATAACCCTTCTTCAGTGTCTCTACCCTTGTCCCACAAGATTCCTCTTTATTTCCCACCCTCTTTTCCATCTATATCATTGACCTCCCTTCCTTTATCATGCACTGTCAATACCACCTATATGCCGATGACGTCTAAATTTACCATTCCTTCAACCCGACTGATTCCTCTAATGCCATCCTGAAACTGTAACAAGACATCAATAGAATATGCGCATTTGGCAAAACTAATTAAGCTCACATTAAATACAGAAAAGACAAAAGCCATCCTAATCGGATCCCTCTCACTCCTCAAATCCATTTTAGTACTTCCCAATCTTCTCCTGAACAACTCATCTATCTCCTTCCATGCTACCGTTAAAAATCTTGGCGTTACCCTCGATAAACCCCTCTCCTGGAAACCACACATCTCCCAAATTTCCTGCCATCCTATTTCTACCCTGAAACAGTTTAACCATCTATGTTATCTTCTTCCATTCAAAACCCATCAACTCCTGGTTTCATCTTTTATTTTTCCCCACTTCGACTACCGCTGTATGGTGTATGGTAGACTCTCAGGAGAACTCGAAGCTAAACTTAAACGTCTAATGAATTTCTCAATACGCTTTATCTTTGGGATTTCAAGGGATACGCATATCACCCAGTTTTACACCTAGTTGAAGTGACTTTGCCCGTCCCAACATCACTATTTCCTTGTTACCTTCCTATACCAGGCTGTTAGAACTCGGCGATCCTCCTATATTCTACAGGTCCTACAATTCAAATGCTCCTTTCAATCCCATCCCACCAGATCCCGTATGTTCGACCTCTATCCTCCTCACAGAACTGCTACATTTGACTAATCCTTTTTAATTCAAGCTTTCTTCTTCTGGAACTCTATCCCTTGTGATATTCGACACGCAAAGTCAGCATCCTCTTTCAAATCTTTCCTCTTCAAACATCTACTCCATTCCAAATCCGGTTGATCATCAAATGCACTTAAAAAATCTAAGTCGTAAGAATCTCTAAGTACCCCCCCCCCCCAGATACGTTGATTATTTTATTGTGATTTATTGATATTTTGTTTATTTATTTTAATTTCTCTGTCTATTTTATATTTATGTACGTTTTTATATCTTTTTATTATCTGTACTTTTATTTTATTATCAATCATACTGTAAATATATAATTGCATTTTATGAACACACCACAATGTTAATATATATTCTGTATTTATATTTTGTTCTAAAGGGACACTAGTCCCAGAATAATAAAATTATTTTCATTAAAATGTTTACAAAAAATAAATATATTTGCAAGTTTGGTGAATATATCAAAGAAACTTGGCCAACACTATTATATTGTTAACCTTGACTCGAAGAGAACTTTGAAAAGGTATGTGAATGAATCAATTAAGATTAATAATAGTGTCCAAATCCAAGAAAACAGTAACTTTTAGTCCCACAAAATTATTAAACATATCAAGATTCTGACAAAGTCACAACCATACACATCTTGCATTTAAGTGACTCAACCCCAGTATAATCAAGATCTGGGGTAGTATAGTCCATTTGACTTCAAATATACCAGCTGAGGATATACCAGCAAAATAAAGTAGTAAGAAACAAATATCAATATGTTTTAAGGGATTATGAGATGTAGTACAAGAATATGAGTTTTCATTAAGTGGGCGAGAATGTAACCAAAATGTTAACTAGTGTCAAGTTTGCAAATTACATGTTTCCTGTTATACAGTCCTGTCAAAAATATAAACTCAACTTATAAAATTAAAGTATTTATAAAATTTAAAAGTAAATTCATTGCACAATAATGTTTTTTATTAGATTGGAAAGAAGCTTTAAATGTTCATTGATCAATTTGATGATTTACAAATATCAGATTTTGTAAAAAAAATCTTGTTTACGCCGTGAATAAGTATAAACTCAATGTTTGTTTTCAATTGTTAGGTGTAGGAATGTATTAATATAACCTCAGTTTTCTTTTCACTGTTAAAGGGAGAGTATATAGTTTTGTTTTTTATACTGTATCATTTTTTGTGAATTAGTCTTTAATTTTTTTTTAAGTAATGCTTTATGAAACGAAACTCAAATCACAGAAATTGAGCAGCAAAGGATAATGAACCTAAGAAGAGGTGGGATGACCCAGAAGCAAAGCTAAACCACCACCAGGGAGTAGTCAAATACTTTTTAAATTGTGGCCCAGACAATTATGGAAAAAAGAATAGAAGTGGAAGAGCTCCAGAATTTTTCAATCATCTGAAACCGGACATTTTGAGAGACCGGACATTTTGAAACCGGACATCTTGAAAATAGGAGCATCAACTGCACAGATTGTGAGGCGATTCAATTTAGGATATGATTGGTGAGGAAATGGATAGGCGAATGAAAGTTCTTAAAATATTGTAAGGTTATAAGAAAACTACAGCTCAAAAACCATAATTTGCAGCGATTACTGCAGTTTGCTGAAAGACATATTCAAGGGAGAAAAAAAAATTATCAATCGTTATTTTCAGTGATGAAATTTTTTTTTTAACAATAACGGTCCAGATGATTTTAAATATTGGCATACTAATAGAAATAAAATACTACTGGCATGACCTTAAAAAAGAAAAAAACAAAAAAACTTTGTCATGAAGGTTGTTTGGGGGTGGCAGAGTAATGGTATGTGCTAGTTTTACTGAAAAGGAGAAGTCTCAAATTGTATTCATTTCCACCAAAATGAATGCTACTAATTATCAAAATGTTTTAGAAGAGCTCCTTTCACCGTTTACTACAATGGTGGAAGAAGAAATCATTTTTCTGCAGGATAAAGAGCCAATTCATACAGCAGGTTTTTACAAAACAATGGTTTCTAGATTTCGGGATCAATCTTTTGGATTGGTCAGCTCTTAGTCCAGATTTCAATCCGACTGAAAATTTGTGGGAAATCATGGCTAGAGGACCTTCAAAAGCAAGAAATCCGAAATAATAATGAGTTCAAGGAATGGATCCCACAAGCTTAGGAAAACATACCAGAAAGAACTTTTATTTAGTAAGAAGTGTTCCCAAAAGACTGCTGGAGGTGATAAAAAAAACATGGCAGAAGTCTCATTATTGAAGAAAATTTACTCATTAATTTTAAATGATTATTAATTTTAGCTCGAATGTAGCTAATCATAGCAATATGATTAAATTGTTTTTATTATTTTTTTTAACGATCTTGTTATTCAGAAATAATACATTTTGCCACACTCAAGGACACTGAATACTAAAGCTGATTGAGGCACATTCATACCATATATCCAATACAATAAAAAAATATACATCTATATAACAAAGGCAAAAACTATAATAAACCAAGGAAATGTAAATTAAAGTTCAAGTTAAATAAAATACAGAAATTCGTAGCAAAATTAAATAAATTATAAGTAAAAGAAATAAATAAATAAAAAAAAGATTAAAAAGAAAAACATTCATACAAAGTGTTTATTAGAATTGGAACTAATCATTTATAGTATATATACAATAATATCTCTTGTTATTCAGATTCCAAAATAAATTTTTCTTTTCTTATGAACTTGAAATTAAAATTTGAATTATGAAAAAGTTTTCTTTTCTTTGAGTATATAGTTTTTGAGTATATAGTATAGACTGTACTTCATGAAGGGAGGTTGGTTATAATTGTTCAATTTTGTATTTCTCATAATCCATCATTAAAAAAATAAGGTGCTCTAAAGTGTGTCCTGTTAAATCATTTTATTAGCAAATCAATAACATATAACAGAGGCCTAAGCCCATTTTTGACAATAATGCAATGTAGGTAACCTATAATTCAAAAGGGATCATAATATCCATTATCACTTGGCCCCACTAGGCACACAGAAAGAATAGAAAATTATGTTCGAAACACACAAATTAAAATCTACAAATATATATAATCCCTAATTACAAGCACCGTAGACATAAGTTTTTTTTACCCTATCTCTCAATAAACCAAAATTTAGATATATTTCAAATAAAAGAGCAAAAACAAACATTAAAACGTTTAACTACCTATGCATGAAATAGGTTTACTACAAGTTAACAATGAATTCATCAGGCACTAAAAAATAAACAATGTTGAAAAATCAATATGGGTAAAAACAGAATAATTACCTTAAATAAATCACTTTTTCCTTGAATATCTTTAGGACGTTTATAAGCCATGGCTTCTTCTAAAAGTGCCTTTAAATCAGGCTCATTCAGTGACGATATTGAAGAATCTTTATTAGGCGCCTGAAAAACAAATTTCGAATAGTAAATAAATCTTTAATATTGGATAGGCTGTTTTGGGACATACAATGTGCTAAAGTAAGGAAAAAACTGTAAAATCTGTAGTTACTACATAAACAAATGATAATACAAACAAACAATTAAAATACAAAACAGACTTTTTAGAACTATTTTCAATTTATTTTATTGTTATTACATTTGATGATATTTTTGGCTGAAAAAAAGTTAAAAAAAAAGGAAGATCCATAACCCTCAGTGGAAACTTTATTTAATGACAGAACAGGAAATAATGATCTGGATAAGGTGTTCAAGGGCTGCATGGAGATGAAACCGTGAAGAATAACAATATGCACAACAGCTAATAGACTTTTGTATTGATAATGACCTCCTAGTAGAGAATTCATTCTATCCGTAAAAAGAATCCATAAAATTATTTTCTAAATCTTGGAGCGAAGTAGTATTATTCATTATTTTAAATACTATTCGTACACAATACAGTATTTCGCTGATATCAAGGTGGTGAAAGGATCAGAGGTAGGCAGTGAATACCTTCTACTTGGGGTCGATGCAAGGATTATCTTGGATTATAAAAGAAAAGCGAAGGTATTTGAAGCCCTCAACAAGGGGAGGGGCTTGTATGACTCAGAAAAGAGGTTCATTCATATGGAGAACTAAGAATGCAAATTAAGAACAATACCTTTTGATGGAGATGTAAGAAAAATGTGGAAGTCATGTATCCTGGATGTAGCAAATGCAATATATGGAAAGAGAAGAATATCTGGTAAGGGAAAATGGACCGACTCGTGGACTGAAGACCCCCAAAATGTAACAAGCCATGTTTTAATATTAATATATATATTAAAACATGACTTATTAAATATGAAAATTAGAAATGTCATCATAAGTATCATAAGGATAATAATGATAAATGATAAAATATGTATTTTAATAAATTGGTTTGGTTCAAAATTTAGCCATTTTTATTTCTTTACAATAGTGCTCTTTCAGTTTTTAATGAAACAATTCTCAAACTCCATTTCGAACCTCGTCCATAGAATTTGGAAGTTTCCTTTGAAGATAATGATCTATTGACTGGAACGGTAGATGGTAGTTGGGAGATGTTTTAAAAAGTATTTTACATGATGGGCCAGACTCCCCCTACCGTGCACCCTTCCCCTACATGCCGATAAATTGCTTATAGTTATGTTCCTTGTAACTATTTATGAAAAAAAAAGCCAATGTTCCCACAAAAAAAAGTGGACACACTGTCCTAAATTGGCGTCCAAATGTCTTTGACTTAAGTTAGTTTTTCGGTCTCTAACATTCAGCATTTGGCTTAATTTCGTCATCATTGGTATTTTATTAAAACTAGATAGTTGGAGAATAATAAAACATACAAAAATATTAAAAAATAATTGACCTCAGTTAAAAAAAAATCAGTAAATTCAAATTTTTCTAGTCGTCCAAACTAAAGTTGAAAACCAAGTGTCATTTGTAAATAAACAGCCAAAAATAACGACAAATGCTTCAAAATAAAACATGTGGTATAAAAAATAAAACTGATTACTTTTTAAAATATTTGAAGCAGTTATTTAGAAAATAAACTTAATTGGCAGAAAAGCGACACTGGCATAGGTGCGAACCTAGAGTCTTCTGCCACATCATTCAGTACTCATAAATGGCATAATAACATTATAATAATATAGTAACATTTTTAGTAAATTACGTTGATTGTATTAATGAATAAATGTTAATACAATAATTTAATTGTCCAAAACTTTGAAAACAGTAAAAATAAAATTATAACGATTTTTTTTAAATTTTAAAACATCAATTTCTTTTTAGCGATTTTTATCTAAGTTGTTAAGTTTAGAAAAATATGTTTCTTATAAGAGCTGTAGTAAATTGTGAGTAGTTTAATATTTAATTTTACAAAATTATTAGAGAGCAACCAATGGGTAGTTTCTCAACATGTGTTTCATGTCATTATATCCATGTGCAAATTTACTGGATGTATTTTTTGTATACAGTTGTAAATATCATATAAATAAATAATTTTTTTTACAAAACTGAGCTAAGTTATCTATAAAATCAGATAATTAGTTAAAATCAAAAACATTTGAAAGATCGATAGTTCGCTTCCTGTTGGGTTGTTTTGGGAGGGGGGGTTAGAAAAATATGTTAGGTAATTTCAAGCTATTTAAGATTAAATAAAACCACTCTATTTAACTGTTTAATTAATTAAAATATAAAATGAAATAAAGTCAATTTAATATTTCATCTTTTTGCTCATTATAATTATTCTTAGGTGACTAAATTTGTCCCAGAATAAAATTTACTTTTTTCTTCTTCTTCATTTATCTATCTCGCTTTAAAAGGGAGATATTTAGCGTGGACCAAAAAAATTTCGAAATTTTAATGGTTTTTGGATTTTGGAGCACTGAAGCGAGCCCACAAGGCTTTCAAGGGCAGAACCTTGCATTTGTTATGTTCACTACATACCTAACAATATAAAAAAGAAATTTGAATTACCCAAACTTTTGCAAGGTAAACCCCTTTTTTTGGGCTAATTTTACAGGGCAATATCATTATTATAAGGTTTAAATTTTTTTAGAAATTTATCTCTTAATATATTTATTTAGAAATTCATTCTGTCCATAAACTTGAGCACTTGTAATATTGTATATAATTCAACATTATAAATATTAAGTTTGGAAGTTTGTATAGCACAGAATATTATGCTTGGGATAGAGACACCAGTAGTAGACACAATTGTGAGACTCTTCCAATAATTTTATATATAACACATAAGATTCTTTTCAACCTTCTTTTTTTTGCTATATTTGTCGAACAACACTCTTATGTGACCTAAATTCCTTATAAAGTAACTTCAACATTGATATTTAGGTCGTTTTTTAGATAATTTTTGAGAACATGTTTTATCACCAATAGTTGACACCATTTAATTAATATATTTAATTTATTTCTAATCAAATATGCCCCTAGTTTTTACCAAGAAACAATGATTTTTAAAAAATACAAAATTCAAAAATGCAAAAAAAAAAACAAAAAATTAATTTTTTAATTAAATGACATTTGTAGGTAAAAAGGAACAAGACATTTCCTTGGAAAAATTCGAACACTCCCATGCTTAGAATAGAACTATGAATGATATTCAATCATTACTACAAAAAAGTTGAGTTTTCTGTATTCTACTTGAACAAGAGGTACTATTAGTATCCCAGTAGTAGACAGTTTGTTTTTGTGCTCAATCAAACAAAACTAACAAACAAAAACACGTTACCTAGTGAGTTCATTGTCTACACTATCATTTAGAGAAAAAAAATTGTGAAAAATCTTGGAACAATAAAAGAATAATAGATGAAAATCAAACTACTCCCTTAGCCTATTTGGTAACAGCTGCTCTAACTTTGCCACTGCTCACTTGGTTTGCTACCGCATTCTAATGGTTACACAGTATAAGTTAAAGTTTAAAATGACATCAAATTCAAATCATTCAGCTGGTTCCAACTCTTATTTTTTTAAGTTAAAGTTTCATCTGTCTACTACTCGCTTGAAATCTACTACTGGTGCCTTTACCCTATCACTATTATGATATTACTGTAATACATTTTAACTAATATAAAGACAAAAAATCTCGTTGACAATTTAGGTAATAAAAACCGCAGAAACAATCTAATATTTAAAGGATTGACTTATAATTCACAAGATAATAATTTTTGTAAAATTATTTCTGATTTAGCAGTGTGGTTTTACAAGTTCAATTAGCGCAAGAATTTTTGTATACTTTCCCTCTGGGACGAGCAACAGCTCCTAATAGACCAATTACGGTCTCGTTTAAGAGATATAAAGATAGATTATTAATAATGAACTCCTTAAAATGGCTGCGAAGAACAGGGTTTATTATATACCAGGATTTTGGTGAAAGGACTAGGATAAGAAGAAGTAAACTCCTGTTACTTAGAAAGGAAATCAGATGTTTAAATAATAATATTAATGTTATCGTCCGTGCCGATCATCTCATTATTTAAAAAAAAAGATTTAATTGGTCTGAAGATATTGGTTTGGAGTATGGGGGCGAAGACGGTGTGAAGATATTGAACGATCTGGTAGGCGCTGATCTGTCTAATTTTATAACAGCTGTTAACTTTGAAGATTATTTAAATTCAATATCAATAAATATTGACATTTTATATGCGTCAAAATGATAGACACATTTGATTGTTGTTTACCATTTTCTTAATCCTCTTGAGTTAAAATCATTAAAATACCATTTCTACTTCAGTGCAGTGTTGAATTTGTTTCAAAATAGACCTGAAAGAACATGAGTTATAGGAAAAAATAAGTGATTCTTCAAAGAAGAGTGCTCTTTGATTTATCCACTCTACAAGGATGGGATGGTGAGTTGTAGAAAAATAGCTGAATCAAGCGAAGTTTATTTGGCATGGGGAGACATATGGAACCCACCGTTCTATTGGGATGCCCCCTGCTTTGACATTACGAGAGAAACGGAATATTCTTCGAGTCTCATCCAACTCTTCTAAAACAACAAGAGGAATTGCTGAGGAAGGTGGAATAAAACTAAGGAATGTCCAAACGTTATTTAAAAAAGTCAAAAACAATAGTTAGAAAAGAGTTGAAAAGAAAGCCAGTTTTGAGTATCCATCACAAATTAGCCTGGACGGCCTTTGCTCGTAATGTGATGTCATGGACTGAGGAGTGAAAGAAAGCCATCTTTAGTGATGAAAGAAAAAAAATTCTTTCTGGATACGCCAGATAGATTTTTGTATTATTTTCATGACTAAGAAAAGAAGAAAACATTTTATCAAGGCGTCAAATGGGAAGAGGAAAAGTTATGATTTGGGCATCAATTGCTCACAAAAATAAAGGAAATTTGGTATTTGTTTCATCAAGAGTAAACTTAGCTGAATATAAAAATTTGTTAGAGGAATTAGAAGACATGTCTGAAGGCACAGTTTTCC